CTCTCATCTCTCTCATCTCTCTCATCTCTCTCATCTCTCTCATCTCTTTCTCATCTCTCTCATCTCTCTCTCCTTTCTCTCTCTCTCTCTCCTCTCTGTCTCTCGTCTTTCCGTCTCTCTTCTCTCTCTTCTCTCGCAGGAGGATCCGGGCAAAGAGCCACATATAAAGGACTCTTCACCCCTGCCTCCAAAAAGAGCGCCGTGTTTTTTCCTACCTCGCTGCCCTCCACTTTCCCATTCTGGAGCGCTAGCTTTCGCCCCCCCCTTGGCCTCAAGTCCTATAGGCTTATTCTTTTGGAAACTTCCGCCGCCGGCTTGCCCGGGAACTACTTGTAATTATACACGGTTGATTCGCTTTGGCACTTGAATGAGAGGTTGGCACCAGTTCCTTTGTTCTGTCATGCCTCGACTGCAGAAACTCTCTACAGCTCGGAACTCAAGTCAAAAATATCCGAAAAGGGAAGCCGAAAGTCAAAGTTGCCTCTGAGCAAGAAGCTACTAGGGGCTCCTGGCCGTACTACTAGGAGCAAGGATGCTACTAGGGGCTCCTGGCCGTACTACTAGGAGCAAGGATGCTACTAGGGGCTCCTGGCCGTACTTCTAGGAGCAAGGATGCTACTAGGGGCTCTTGGCCTTACTACTAGGAGCAAGAAACTACAAGGGGCTCCTGGCCTTACTACTAGGAGCAAGAAGCTACTAGAGGCTCCTGGCCTTACTAGCAAAAAGCTACTAGGGGCTCCTGGCCTTACTACTATGAGCAAGAAGCTACTAGGGGCTCCTGGCCTTACTACTAGGAGCAACAAGCTACTAGGGGTTCCTGGCTTTACTTACTAGGGGCTCCTGGTCTTGCTGTGTTGCCTTTGATTTTTGCTGTGCCAGGTTGTAGGTGCCTAAGATGGCCGAGGTCTTGCCCGGAGTTCCTCGGTGACGACACATCCTGGCTTTGTCGCAGGTGAGGCCTGTGCCTTCCTCGCGCACTTGGTCTGGTTCTTGGCCTTCAACACAACCTCAACAGTTGAATTGCATACTGCACAGGTCCTATTGTATTCTTTTCCAAGGTGCGGCAAGCACTCTATGTACCCAAGGGCTCAGTGAACATCAAAAGATTTTTGGAAGGTGCCTCGCAGGCCGCACAGCCAGGTTGCATAAAGTTGTATCGTGCAGAACTTCACCTCACAGCTGTCCTTCAGGAGTTCTATGAATTATCCGGCCTTGCTGAACGAAGCGGTCCCGGCATCGATGAAATGAAGTGGCAGCCCTTTTGCAATTGAGACTTAAGACAGGCTGATGTTCTCAAAGTGAGGAAGTTGATGCTTCATTCTTGATGGTTCATTCCTTGCACTAAGTGTCCTCTCTTTTTTGTCGGCGGTGCTACCAAAAGTCCACTCGACATTTTCTTCACTTGCGGCAGCTTTGTGATCCCAGGGCCCCCAACTTTCTGCCGCACCAAAGCGCTGCGTTAGAACCAAAGATGCAAGAAACGGAAGCAACTGCAAGCACTAACAGCTTTAGACGGAAGGGTTATTTTCCTTCGGGAATGCGTTTGCTTGGGGTGAACATTGGTGAACCATGCACTGCAACGAAGAAAGACCAACAGATTTGTGCTGTCTTTTGGCACCTTGTAAGCTGTCATCAGTTCAACCAAGTTCCCATAGTCAAACAATTGCAACAGTTGGGCTCAGTGATTGCTCACAAAGGGATTTTGTTTGGCATGTTTGGAGGCTCCACAGGGTCCAAACCGATTGGATATATTATATATATTGTGTTTTTGGAATGCATGTTCGGAGGCAATAGGCTCCAAAAGCGCATCGTCCGATATGGGTAGTCGTTCCAGAAGCAGCGAAGTGACCCCAATACACAGATGGTTGGCAAAAATGTCGCATCGTTCCGACGGCGGGGAGTTTCACAAACCTGCACGAACTACTCAACAATTTGTCATTGCTTGTTTCATGGGGTCTCGGGAATGTAGGCAGCAAACGCTGAAGCTGAAAATCTATCAACGAACACTCGTCCAGTATGGAAGGGTCCAAGTTCCAAGAAGAAAGATCGCTTTACTCGAGTTTTGCAGAACTTCAGCGTCCACAATGTGCAAGATGGCTGACGGGTACACAGACTGGAAAGAACTTTATCTGAGGCTGGTGACCTCAAGCCCTGCCAGAGAAACGGAGCGGTGCTGGAATTGGAAGCATGAGACGCTGGACATTGCTGGAACGTTGGCCGCACGTGGTTGGAGTTACAATGGCTACCCTGTCTCAGCCGACTACTTCGGTTCATATTCGTGGCCAAGCTGCAGTGATTGGCGGCTTCGAAAGGAAGACCATCAGAGGAAGTAAAACTGCAAACACCTAGACTGTTCGAAGACTTTGGACATTGACATTTGACATCTTTGGCAGACTGTTTCTGAGGCTAGACGGGCTGGCCGGTGCCCTGTGGGCGGTCTATCACTCAAGGCGGGAAACGGTAGCTGTGATCGGTGGCTGTGCTTTGTGTTTTTGGTCGGGGTTCAAGGTCATTTGATGAAGCGGTGGTCAGAGCGGTCAATCTCAATGGGGATGCCGACAGCTTCGGATCAATGGCAGGTTGCCGCCGTTGAATGTGAAGCATTGTGAAGCAACCCGTTTTTTGCAGAACTCTGGCTGGTGCCAAAGTAAGTAAGGCTAAGCCCAGCGTTTGAGGGTTGGAGAGTGCATTTTCATGCAGTACCCTGAGGGTTTTGAACCTTGTTCAGTTAATTAACGTGATGTCCATGTGCAGGCCAGATTGCAGGAGCTTTCTATGGGTTTTCTGCCATTAATAAACAATTTGTCGAGTGGCTTTCGAGGCAGGAAGTTTAGCTCGGGACTTTCTTCTTGAAATGCGCTTTCTTAAACATGACCTTTTCTGAGACGGGTCCTCCATATAATCCAAAAGATGCAGTGAGAATGTGCTTCACTGGTTAGGTGGGATGATCATGAGACAGCAGTTCGTGCCCTGTTGCTGTTCAAGATCGGCGCGGATGTTGAAAAGACCCGCGGACGTGATGAATGAGCAGCCAGCCTGCACACAAAAAGGTTGGTTCGCTCATGTTTGCGGTGATGACCCTGCTGCTTTCCACAGCTTTGCACCTGCACCTGAGATTGCTGTCCGCTGTCCTCGAGAAACTCTTTTTCTCGCATTTGCAAAATAGTATATGCATATGGGCGCATGGCATAGACACAAACAATATACACATGTAGAAATCTTTTGTGAGTCACCTCTACTGTAGCGTTTTCGCAACAATATATACATATACATATAGACATATATACATACGTAGAGTTCTAACTTTGGTCATCTCTTGCGTAGCCTCAGGAATACCACCTTTTCTGTAAATAACACACACGCAATCCTACGCATACACATACACATCGCAGAGACAGCTGCTTGAGTCTCGAGGAACCCGTGAAACCTTTTACTGTACGCACTGTGATGGTCGCGGCTGCTCTTGCCAATCCAATTCGGAGCGTGACAGGCTTGCTGTTTCTGGGCTCCTGGCCGTTTTGCGTGTTTGACTTTGCAGGTGCTCTTTTCGGCCGCAGAGGACCAGAGCACATTGAAATCAAGTTCCCAACTTAGCTGCAACCCGACAAGATGCAGCACAAGTCCACGTACGGACCATTCCAGGTATGGCCAACGTATCCAATAATGTCACAATTCTGATTGTATTCTGTCAAGCCAAGTCTATTTTTTGGGGGCCAGCCGAAGGCTGAGAGCCTGTATTGCGAACGAAGATTAGGGGGTGGGGAGTGGAAGGGTGAACCCAGAGCCCGAACAAATTGCGTAGCCAAAATATACCACTGCGACCGCCTTGGTGATGCGAGTGATGCTGCTACAACAGGCCATTGTAAGAATTTTTTTGGGGGGAGTGCTGTGGCAAATTTGTCGGCTCGAGCACGACAAAACACATTGTCATTTACAGTGTGTTGATCTTTGTTGGCCATGCAGGAAAGAGGCCAAAGCAACTTAGATTGCGATGTTTTCGCAGGGTGAGGTGGTTGACGAGTGCGTGAATATATCTATCTATCTATCTATTCTATTCTAATCTGATCTAATCTAATCCAATCTAATCTAATCTAATCTAATCCAATCTAATCTAATCTAATCCAATCTAATCTAATCCAATCGAATCTAATCTAATCTAATCCTATCCTATCTATCTATCTATCTATCTAGTGGTGTTTTGCGGGGCTTGGGCTTGATGAAAAATGCGTAACATACGGTGTTTTTAGATTTGAGATGAAGTGCCAATGCAGGTGTCGAAAGACATTGTGATTTTAAAGGACCCAGATGCAGAGAGTCGAAGTTTCAATGTTTGTTACCCTTTTGTGCTTTGTTTGAAGGCCGCCTTGCCGCCTCGGGGAAAAAAGGGGTATCTCTGGAAATGGGCAAAACAGGACACGGCAGATGCATCTTGGATCATCTTAAATGAATCTTGCGAATGAAGTGGGTATTATCAGGGGGTTTGTTCTGGTGTGTTTCAGACTCTCACATCGCTTGTTGGAGCTTCTTGAGTCTGCGAGGACTGGCTTTTGCTCCCTCGTTTCTCAGATTTTGCCTGCCCTGCTTCTTGAGTAAAGTCAAGAGTGTGTTTATGAGAGGGGAGCCTGGGACCCCGTTATGAAGAGTTGAATGCTGTCAGAGACACAGGCTGAGATGGTCGGGAATTGTTCCCCGCTCGAGGCTTGTGTGGTTGTGCCGCTCGAAACAACAACACGCACAGGCTCAAGCATTTAGGACTCTTTAGGGCATGGATGACACGCTGTGAAATCACGAAGCTTTAGATGAGTGGAGGGCATAGGGAAGACATTAGCCAATGTTCTTGACCCCACCCATATTTTGGGGTCCTGGTTTTCCAGTTGAGTCACTGACCAGCCTGCGGCAAGATGGTGTGCCAGATGGTGCCCGACCCTAGAGGTTGGTTGGAAGTCCACTTCTTTGGCCTTGGTGGTGGTGACTTTTGCTTGAGCGTGCCTGATGACATTTTGGGCGGCGACTTGTTGCAAGCTGTGCGTGATCATCTCCCAAGAAAGCCGGGGGCAATCCTGTCCTTGTTCTTCAATGATGCCAAGCTTTCGATGTCCAAGACACTGAAGGAGCAATGCATGCAAGAGTCCCCGTCTGTGCACTATGTGTATTTGCATCGGAATGCGTGATAACCTCAGTTTCGTAGTCGATAAGACAATTGTGACAAAGCATGCGCTACATGCACATATCAACGAATAGATTGCCCCCCAAAATTGGTTTCTTGACTCAGGTTGGATGCATGGAAGCAGCTCAATGGACTGCAAGTGGAATCTGAGCATGCCCTTGATGGCATGATCCAATTGGGCCTAGAAGGAGGGGTGATCCAAAACCTGGAGCAGATGAACTTTCCCAGCAGCCTTGAGGTTCTCACATTTGGAGAGAACTTTGACCAGAGCCTCGAACGTGCACGGTTTCCAAGCGATTTGCTGAGCCTAACCTTCCAACCTTTTTTCAACAGAAGCTTGGAATGTGTGAATTTCCCAAGTGGTCTGAAAAGCCTGACCTTTGGATGGCTTTTCAACCAAAGCCTGGAGGGTGTTAGCCTTCCAAGCAGCCTGCAATCCTTGACCTTTGGCGGATTCTTCAACCAGAGTTTGGACAATGTAAACCTGCCGAGTGGTTTACTGCATCTTGCATTTGGAGAGACCTTTGACAGGAGTTTGGACTCGACCAAACTCCCGAAAGGCCTTCGTAGCCTCACCTTCGGCAGGAGCGAAGAATGTGGAGTTGTGATGTGTTTCCGCCAGACCGAGTGTTCTTTGGGGTGCCGGAGATATTTTTCCAACGTTTGTCTTCAGTGACACGGTTAATTATACAGAGAGAGAGGGGACAAGGGACCATTTTTTCTTGATGGTCGAGTAGGCCAATCGCATCAATCTACGAATGCGTTTTGACCATTTGCATCATTTGCAGGAGCTTTAATCAGAGCTTGGATCGCGCGGATCTTCCATGTGGTTTGCAGGACTTATCTTTTGGGTTTCACTTCGACCAGGGCTTGGAGCATGCAAAGTTTCCTCAAGGCTTGTTGAGCCTGACTTTTGGGAGTCGCTTCAATCAAAGCTTGGAGCGAGTGAGACTTCCAGAGGGCTTGGAGACTTTGACATTCGGTTGGCGGTTCAATCAGAGCTTGGAGCTTGTGAACCTGCCTTGCAACCTACGGACCTTGACCTTTGGAGAGAATTTCAATGAAAGTCTGGAGAAGGTGCAATTTCCAATGAATCTGCAATCCCTCGTTTTTGGCGAGAGCTTTAATCAAGAGATGGAGAATGTCAAGCTCCCGGAGTTGACCAGCTTGAAGTTTGGACGTGATTTCAATCAGAGCCTGGAAGGCATAAATCTTCCAAACAGCATCCAGGCCCTGATTTTTGGAAAAGACTTCAACCGAAGCTTGGAACATGTGAATCTTCCAAGCGCTCTCCAAACATTAGTTTTTGGAAGAAGCTTTGACCAGAGTTTCGAGAAGGTCAATTTGCCCACTGGCTTGCAGAACTTGGCCTTTGGTCTTGACTTCAATCAGAATCTAGAGAAAGTGATGTTCCCAAGCACCTTGCACAGCCTGGCGTTTGGAAGTCGCTTCAATCATAGTTTAGAAAGTGTCAAGCTTCCCTGCAGCTTAAAATGTTTGGCGTTCGAAAGCTTCAGCTTCTTCAATCGTGCCTTGGAGCGGGCAACACTTCCCGATGGCATTGAATCGCTGACGTTTGGAGGGTATTTCAACCAGAGTTTGGGGCGAGTGAGCCTGCCAAGCAGCCCAAAGAGCTCTCCCACAAGCACTGGAAATGATCGTGTGGATTTGCCAAGCGGCTTGCGATCCTTGACCTTTGGTGAGTTCTTCGACCAGAGTTTGGATAATGTAAATCTACCCAGCAGCCTTCAGGCGTTGACTTTTGGAAGTGCCTTCAACCAAAGCTTGGAGAATGTGAACTTACCAAGGGCTCTCCAGAGCATGGTCTTTGGAAACAGCTTCAATCAAAGCCTGAACCATGTAAATCTTCCAGATGGCCTGGAACACTTGGCCTTCGGCAGTGACTTCAATCACAGCTTGGAGAACGTGCTCCCATCCTCTTTGGTAAGCCTTTCTTTGGGAAGCCGCTTTAACCAGAGCTTCGAGAACATCCACTTGCCCAACCTGCTGTGGTTGGACTGTGGTGGTGTACTGGTGAGCTTTATGTAGTCTTCAGATGGAGGCTTTATTCATATTCATACTTGCTTTTTCCCTGGCTTGCTCAGTGTCAGGCTCAAGGCTTCTGGCAGATTGGCCAGCCAGTCCTTGCAGGAAGGAAGCTCTGTCCCCTTGTAAAAGGATGCATATCTATCACTTGCTTTTATATAGTGAATATGGTGCTCTTTATGCCTGCCTGCAGCCTGGAATGCCAAGCAGAAGGACGGCGGGTCAATCGATCCGCCAGATTGTGTCCTTCCTTCGCTTTTGTGGCATTTTTGCCCTGACCTCCTCGCGCTTTGACGAGCCTCTTACCATCGTAAGAGGCTTCGGAGGTCCCATGAGAGCTTGGAAGATTGGAAAGACCGTCCGCCGAAGGGATGTTGTTTTATATTGTTTTTGTAAACCCTTTCAACCACTTACACACCTGCTTCAAAAAATTGCACATGTTCCATCCATGACGTGACAGCATACTGAGGTGGATGTTTGCCGCGGTGGTGTTTCAACGTCTGGAGACTATTCTGCGGCGTGCAGACCTGACCAAGCATGCTTGCGGCAGCATGCAATTCCTTCCAAGCAGTGTCAGTGTCTTCTCACCAAGGCCCAAGACCCCAAGGCTTTGTATCAAGGAACTTTTGAAGAGCTGATTGCCAGACACAGTGGCCACTTGATTGGAGGCTCGGCTCGGTGAGTCTTTCTTCTCCAACCTAGCCTACACTGACTCTTCAGTGTCCTGTTGCATCTCACACAAGCACACACTGCAAGATTTGACCAAAACTTCCTGAGTCTTCTTTTCTAAATCCTTCTTTATCCACACAACTACAAAAAGGTCCAAAGACAGCGGCTGAACGGAAATGATCTGAAAGTTAATGTTGGTATGTTGCACACTTAATTTGCACATGCACGAATCAAAGTACATGCGCACATGCAGGCAAGGCTCCAAACAGGGGAAGATTGGAGAGTTGTCATGGAAGTCATGATTTTATCCACATCTATACACAACAGATCTTTAAAAGTGGTATCATGTTGATCGTCTAGCACGTGCGTGCAAGACGCTTGAAGCCAGCAAATTATTGTAAATGCCCTTGCTCAAGAACTGGCTTGCGAAGCAGGTTCAGCAGTTAAAAGGTAGCGGAACTGATACGCTTGTTGAGAAACATGAGCAGTTTAAATGCACCGAAGATGGCGATCATTTGCCGAACCTAGGGGTGGACCGGTGATCCGAGTGCTACAGTTCAACATTTTGGCGGATTCCTTGGCAGACGGTGCCACCATACAGGAAAAGACATTGCCAGCGCCACATTTATGTGATGTTGGAGCTGCAGGCTGCCATTACCACTTTCACGCTGAAACCCCTTGCCACACCTTTCGGACGTTGAAGCCACATTTGGATTGGGAACTTAGAAGAGCTCAGATTGTAGATATTTTGCGGAACGCCAATGCCGATCTGATTTGCTTGCAGGAAGTCGACTGCTTTAATGACTTGAAAGCTGCCCTCGAGCCGGTGGGGTTTCAGGGTCGTTTCTGCAAAAAAGCCTGGAGGAAGATCAAGGACGGGAGTGCAGTGTTCTGGCGCGAGGAGGTGCTATGGCTGGAGGATTGGAAGGCGCTGCAGATCTTGCCAGGGAGTGCTATGACTGCGCTGCTGCTGCGCTTCGTCACTCGAGATGGTAAGCGATTGGTGGTTTGTGCCACTCATTTAAAGGCAGGCTTCTCGGCTGCGATGGAAGAACACCGATTGGCACAAGTGCTCGAGCTTCAAAAACTCATACACAGGTTTTCCGGCGAATCCGCTGCAATTGTGATCGCAGCTGATCTAAACGCCCATTGTAGATCCTATGCTCTTTGCACTCCGCTCACTTGCTGTGATCCTGCGGCATTGGTTGAACCCAAAGCAGTTTGTGCCCTATTGGATGGAGGATTCCAAAGCGCCTACGCAGAGTTTCCCTCCTTCACAGCATGGTCTGGATGGTTGAATCGAGATGTCAAAGCAAATCTGGATTACATCCTGTACAAAGGCCCGGTGCAGCCTTTAGGCGTCTTGGAGGGACCAGAGGAGGAGTCTGTTAGCGCTTATAGTGAACTGCTCCCCAACCAAAGCTGGCCGTCGGATCATATCCACCTGGTTGCTGACCTGGAACTCTTGTAGTTGACCGTGCCATGAAGCTTGTTTGGTATTTTGATTTGGTTTGCCGATGAAGTGGGTGCTTGATCAGATGTTTTCAGATAAAAAGGTGATCGCAGAGCATCCAACGCGCAAAATCAAGCCAAGTCGGAGAACGGAATTTGTGGCACGATGTCGCACATGTCAAACTGAGTGAACCCTGGCGTAAACAGTCGTAAACTATCCTAGCAATCCACGGCTTGGTTGCAGATGCTCAGTTATATAGTTGTCGTTTAATTTGTGTTTGTGTAATTTTCATACATGTTCGTTTTCGCAAGGTACCACAACGTTATTTCTACAAAGAATTCTGATTTTTTAAAATCGCAGTGCTCGATCCGAAACGAGCATTATCTAATTTGTAAGTTGCAATAGAACCCGTTGATGCCCATCGGTTGGACCTCCACTTGTAAAACACCGGGCACCATCTTGCGAGAAGAGATGCCCAGCTCGCAGGTATCACTTGGATGGCACCTCCAAATCCATAGAACTTGGAAATCAATCATGGCAGCATGCCGAGGGGGGGGCGGGACGGTGCAACAATTCACAGGTGTATCAAGTTTACATTTTCGTGACAAAACAAAATTTGTATGATTATCACTGGCTCCAAACGCTTGTGAATTTGCAGCGTGGTCGGACTTGCGCCTTTGTCAGGCTGTTCTTGCCTTTCGCCTTTAACAGAATTCGTTTCAACCGACGCATGGAACATTCTTTTTGGTTCAGGTTTGCAATGTCGTTCTACGACGTGTCCATCAGCTTGCCTGCCAAGGCTGGTGTTGTGCACTTTGTTGAACAACTGTCGATGTTTGGTGCCTGAGGTGCGAGGCCCAGAAGCTGAAGAAGAGTGGCAAGAGGCCCACCAGTATCGCCAGTATGCGAAGTATATCATGAAATGGGATGAGCTGCTGGATCAATGACTCTAGCATGTTCATTTGTTTTCCCACACGTTTTCCACATTTTTTGCATAGGTTCCAAAGGGTTCAAGTTTCAAACTCTTTGATCATCCAATCCCAAAGGTGGACTGGGTGACGTGGAGCACCGGATCTGTGACAGTTGAGCCAGAGTTCGACACTTACTTAGTCAGTGCAAATTTGTTTGGGTTCAAAAGTGCACTGGATTTCCAATCGTTTGCCGAGGTCGTTTCTCATACTCTTCAAACCCGTGGGAGGTGGCAATGTCAAGGCAGATGGAGCACATGGAGCAACCGCACTTTGTCCGTGGTTTTTGCATGTCAGGCCAAAACCTTAGGCAACTTGGTCCGGGCTTCCAGCGTCGGTTGCCCAGAAGAACCGCCATGAAACAACGGATTCTTGAAGTTTTGCAAAACAAAATTAACAGTTTTTGAGTGTTTATGACTCTTTGCTTGGAGGTTGTGCATGAAGGCCAAGACGTGAAGACACTGATTGTCACAACTTCTGAGTGACTTGGTGTCAAAAGGGTTCCCTGCAAAAGACCTGGTGCAACGTGTGATTTGTGTGATCGTTTTGACATTTGTTTTTTGCGTTTTAGGTTTGACAATTTGACCCTGTCTGACATGTTCTGAGGTCGCTGCACAAGACGCCAAAGTCTTGGAGTTGAATATTTGCTGATGTTTTTGCACGATGTTTCCAATCAAACCGCTTTTCAAAGCGTGAAGTGGGCTAATTGCTCAGACTTGAGGTTTCGGCTGACTTTCTCGTGACGATCTTACAAACTAACACTTCAACATGGATATATACCCTTTGTGTTGCCAACTAGGTCTGGGGCAGACACCACGGAGTTCTTGGACTTGGCCTGCCAAGCAGAGCGAGCACGAGTCTCACAACTTGTCAACACACCAAGCCATTAGTGTTGGAGAGAATTATACGTACGTTGAATTTTTTGATAGAGTTTATGACTTTGTGAACTCTTGCCTCATGGATTAGTTGTTTCACAATTCTTTTGCTTTTGCATGCTCACCCTCCTTTGCAGTCCTGGAAGCTTCTCTTTGCTCGCCTTCTTTTTTCCACTGAAGGCTCATGAGGCTGCCAGCAAGCTTCAGGATACTGGAAGCTACAAACATGCGCACCACATCTATACATTGAATTGTGCATATTGTCATAATTAATTTTTAATTTTTTTCGCAGGTCTTTCTTAGAGTATGCATGCTGCACACCACCTTCCAGGATACATGTGGTGTCGATTCTTCAGCTGAAGCCGCCAGGTGAAACAGTGTGAGCCAATGGTTTGGCAATGTGAGTGTTGTGAGCTGTGTGCACTTGAGATGCGGGCACTGTGTCGGCCTGCAGGTTGGAGTTGCAAATCCGGACGAGGTTGGCCAATCGTTGGCCCTTGGTCTTCACAGGTACAGCACCTTGAGTTCTCTTTGTTGGCACGGACAGGTTTCCTTTGAAGTTTCAGAGGTTACACGAAAGCCTTTGTTGGTCTCTGGAGTTTGGCTAGGTGCAGAACTCTATGGACCAGATCCAAATAGTGAAGTCAGCACGGAGGCACGTGCGGTGCACCGACTCTTGATGCTGTTGCCTGACGAGCGCCAGGTTTTGCTGGGCCGTGGTGCTGATGCTTGACAAACAATTAGAGATTTGAATAGATTTGAGCACTCCGAAGAAAGTGAACACAAACAGGGTCTTGCAATGGACTAACTTGATAAGGGATGTGAGATACTGCGGAGTGAAAACAAGTCAAGAGTTGGACATGGGATCTGAAACCAAAGCTTTAAAACAAGCACGAACAAAGCCTGCAAAACGACATACTCACCAAATTCTCCTGTCTCTGCCTACTCATCAACTATTTTTGACGGCCCCTCATGTAAGACAGCTCGCATCGCATGCACTCACTTGTCGTGCTAAGTTGGTGCTTCTGGATCCTCCTGAGACAGCGAACAAGGCTGGAGATTGAACCTGAGAATCACACAAATGAACAGAATGGTAATTTTTGCTTTGAAGTCTAGCCTTGCACTTTGCTCGGTTGCTTGATTTTTTAAAAATCAGTTTTAGCCGTTCCTGGGCAAGTGATTTTCTGTTGGGCAACTCGCGGTGAGGCTTGTCACAACGGACTTTGTATGCCCTTTCCCAATCCCTGCAAGCCCCAATACTTCGCGCCACACACACACACACCATGCACATTTTGTGCCAAACCCTGCTGCTATGAGGCCTTGCTTCAGCCATCCAGGAAACAGCTCCAAATCCATACATTGCTAAAGCCAAACATCGACTTAATTCCCGAGAGCCCTGGACACACCGGCGACGTTCTCAAGGACGCAACAAGCTGCACTAGAGTCACTCAAGCCAAACAAGGTTGTGTGGACTCAGTTGTGTTTTGCTGTGGTAAGGTCACTACAAAGTGTTGAAGATATATAGTAGATAACTCAGGATTCTCAAGTGCCTGGAATTTGAGTCCATTGCTGCCTGTTGGCCAAGCCAGTACTTGCACATCTCCTACAGGGCTGGTCCCACGATCTCCTGCAAATGTAGATCAACAAGGCAACACAAACACCTCTATGTCCGCAATTGCTTGGTGCCGATGCTACCTGAATAGTTGAACGAAAGCTGAACGAGAAAGCTGACACGGATTGTTCATTGCATCAGGTTGGTAGTTACGAGCTTTTGTTCTACTGTGAGGACGAGGAGCAGCGAACAGTTACTGAAGCCTCTCTTTAATTGTTCTTTAGCTGGAAATGTGCAATTGTTTCCCTTGAGTTTGGAGCAAGCCTACGGGGGCTAGCTTCCAAAGTAATAAGCTTGGTGTGATATTCCTTGTTTTGCTTTCTTTACTTTTGAATCCTTTTGACCCTGTTTTCCAAGTTAGGCGGGCCAAGCTAGCAGCTCGCAAGATCGGTATTTTGCACCATATCCGGGTCAAGCAACCCGGTAGGCTTCCTTTCGGCAGTTTCCATCAAGACAACGGAAGCATGGAAGACTAAAGCTCAAGCCATGATTTGACTCGTGAGGAGCTGCACTAAACGAGAGTGATCTTATCCCACATAAGTTGGCGACGAGATGAACTATGTTACGTGAGTGTTTGATCACACTTATATAGAGTGCATCCCCTCTACGGTGAAAAAAAGAGACACACCCCACTTCTTTCCACTTCCAGAGCGCAATGTGCAACAAGCTGCTGACACTGCTTGGTCATCCAGGACCCAGTGACCCGGCTGAGAAACACTCATGGAGCTTGCTTTGAAAATGGACTTAGAGAGAGAGAGAGAGAGAGAGGGAGAGAGACGGACAGACGGACAGACGGACCGACGGACCGACGGACCGACGGACCGACGGACGGACGGACGGACGGACGGACCGACCGACAGACAGACAGACAGACAGACAGACAGTACCGAGAGTAACAAGCAAGAGGGCGCTCTAGGCGCTTCGGGCACTTGGCAACTGTTCAGAACCCTTTGCTGTATCATTTGAGGTCCAGCTGATGCACTTTCAACAAGCTTCTTTTGGTCAGCGCACCTTGGACGATTTGCATGGTATGGCATGGTGAAATGATCCCAATCAAGTGGAATTGACATGAAAAAGTGTTGCAACATTGTGTGACAACGTTTGGGTTCAAGGCCGAGTAATTGAAATGTGTGCCTGCTTCAGGAAAGGAACCATTCGTGGCAGGCCAAGCATTCTGTTTGCCAATCTTCCACCACGGTCGTCAATGTCGCGAACAGGCCTGACATGACATACAAAGCTTGGGCTCAAGAAGCTAAGAGCTCAGGGTGCAACATTCACCGGAATCAGACATTGTTGAGAAGGTGCATTGTTTGGACAGGTGCCTAAATTGAACTGACTTGCAAAGTCTTTTTGAGACTGACTCCTGACTCACCTTGACTCAGGCAGCAGATGCAGCATCTGAGGCCATGAAGACGGCAAGCAGCAGCCTCAGCACAAGCCGTGGTCGTGCCAAGCGCAGCATAAATTTCAAACATGCTGAGCTATTTGAATTCGAGGGGCAGCTGAGTTTGCAGCAGGGCAGGCATCAGATTTTGAGAGTTCCTTGCATTTTTGGCACATTGCTGTGATTTTGATCATTCTTGTTGAAGCCCATTTTTGTGACTCTGGCTACAAATGGATGGACGGACCCTGTCCTCAGGCAAGACGCTACAAGTACTATACGAAATCTGCAAGAGAAGCAGCTCAGAATGCGTCCGCATCCCAGCCGTTACACTCGGTTATACATATGATATATATATACTAAAATATATATATATATATATACAATATATATATACATACACCTGCAAATCAACCATCCTGTGCACTACACGTCTCTCAGGAAAAAACACAAAAGTCATTTGAAATGCGCGTTTTGGGATTGTAGCAATTTTGGCAGTATTAGGTTGCATTTTCCCACTTCCAAAGCCTGTCGTACGGTCACAAATGAGAACATGCAGCTATGTCAGGAGTAGTGTGGGTCGAATTGTGTGTCCATCCCAGAGGAATGGCGTCCGCTGCTCCCTGAAGAGATTTAGAGCTTGTCAAACCGGCAGAGCTTCATTTTGTTGAAGAAAAGCCCGCGTGACAAGTTTGTTCTACCCGGAAATTTCCGTCGAGTACACGTCTTTACCCGTCCAATACATGTCTTTTCCCGTCCACTGTTCCTAGGAACGAACCTTCTCCTGGTAGCTTGTTTAGTCTCCCTTAAGTAGGAGCGGCCTTTAAACAATCTTTGGAGTTGGGATCCTTTTGTTTTTTCCTTTGTTCCAGTCGAACATGTTTTCCTTTCTGTGACTCAATGTCTTGGCGCGACCGGGCCGCCTCGCAGGCTTAAAGAGCTGGAGGGTCATCTCGCAAAGGAACGAGCCAGTCTCCTAGTCACTAGTCACTTCTTCGACATCAAACCGTTTGCCCTGTAGTTTTTTTATCGTTTTTCTATGGTTTCTCCATTTTAGAGCAACACAAAAAAGATACCTGAAGACACCTAAAGCAGACAGCGGACTATCTTCACAAATGACAGCTGAGGTCGACCCAGCAAAGATGCACATCTATGTTTCACAGTATCCAGAGTGGATGTTGGTTTGGGACTCATTCAAGTCTGTTTTGCGCGGGCTCTGGCTTTGACGAGTTTTTTGGATAGATTTGCCAGCCCAGGTGCTTCTTTCTGTATGTTGCAAGGCGGGAATCAATCCTGATATGACCTATAATGTTACTCATTCGCATCCCTCCTCATCGTCATTCAATTCCTTGACGAATTGATGCAAGCTTGAGAACCTTGGTTTTTGGTGGTCTTTATGCGGCAAGCCTTCTGCACCATTCAGGGTCCCTCACCTTTCAAAGCTCAACTTTGTGCCAGATCTCTTCCACATCAAGATCACCAGACTTTCTGTAGCTGTGAGACCAACAAAGGGCTTTGCGCGCAAGTCAACTGTACATAGTGACCACACCAAAACCTGAGAACAAAAATGCGCGCAGAAGTCCCGCTTTTTGGAGGTCAGCCTGCATTTGACACTGGCGTCCTCTTTAATGCTCAGGGTTCTTTGTGCATTCTTGAAATGCAGCATTTCAAGTGGCTCAGCTTAGACAATCAAGTCCTGAACATCATCAGAAGTCCATTTTACACAGTTGTATCGTTCGACATTGTTCTTTGTAATTCTACAAATCAACAAACAAGTCATCCGCAATGTCGAGCCCAGCTCGCTCAGCTGTCAGATCTGCCAAGGTGTTTTTGCACGAAAGCTTTGGACTTTCCTTTTGGATCTTTTGGGTTCTCACTTGTGATTTTCCTTCGCAGTTTGTTGTGCGACACATGCATGAAGGCTCGACTACCAGCTGGCAAATCAACATCTCCGAAGAAGAAACCCTTCCACTTTAAGCTGGGTGGTGGTGGCGGCGACGAGTCTCAGCAGTTGTTTGGCCTGGCTTTGATTGTCATTTGCTTGAACCCTTACTGTAAATGTCACTTATATTAGATGTTGTAGCGATGTTGTAGCTGCAATCTCGGCATGCGTTCATGACCACTGACCCTATGTTTCCCGACGCCATAGGGCCCTTGAGCTGTGCCAAAAGGGTCGCGCGTCCCCTTTGATCCCATGGTGTGTGCATCCACCTCTTTATCCTTCAGGGTTTGGGGAACCAGGCTCCACGTATCCCGCAACTGAAGGGATTCATTTGCATTGGTAGCGTGCAGCTACACCGGTCCTTCGTGCTTCGCATTCGACCTGGACCAAATGGCCACACTCGATGAGATGGATGAAATGGGGTTCACCGAGTCCTGCGAGGACGAGCTCCATGAGGACGCCGAGGAGGAGTACTGGCAGGAGGGTGAAGAGGAAGAAGCCCTTGAAGAGTCCTATGAGCCGGAAGAGCCCAAGGCCAAGGACGAGATGGATGGCGGCTTGACCTCGAGCTCGCCTCCACCGGCTTCGCCTACGCCTCCCGTGAGCCGCTTGGGCAGAAACGGACCGAGGTCGGCTACCCCTTCGCTGGCTGGTGATTCACATGCAGGCGATGACCGCCGCGATCCCGGAAGCCCATCGAAGACCGAAGACCACCTCCAAGAGCCCCTCAAAGGATTCAGGAGAATCCAGGTCCCAAAAGCGACCACGTGGAAACCTTCCACCAGCTCCGGTCTTCAACGGCGACCGTAAGACCAATCCCAAGTGCTTCAAGATCTGGATTGGCAAGGTCGACTCCTACGTTGAGATCGCCCGCAAGATCATCGACGAGGGCGAGATTGGTTTGCGCTTGCGCGCGGCGCTGGAGGGCAAGGCCGCAGAGTACCTCGAGGACGCGCCCGCCAAGACCTTCGGTGGTGTTGATGGATGGCGCATCCTCATGAGGGTCCTCCAGGAGAAGTTCGACGAGCCGCAGGCGGAAGCGCCATGAAGTCCTTCTTCAAGATGCAGCTTGGCGCCGGGAACCACACCCTTCGCGAGGCCGCCGACCTTCTGGACAAGGCTCATCGCGATTGTCGCGATACAGGCCTCGACGTGCCCGATGCCGTCGTCATCTACTGGTACTTCGAGCACACCGGTCTCAGCCAGGAGCGCCAGGCGAACCTTCTGCTTCGCACTAATGGCGAGGACAACTGGCGCAAGCTGAAGCAGGCCATCGACGTCCTCTACCCCAACACGTTGGTCTCCAAGGGCTACACACCATCGAGGAGCCAAGGTAAGGGTCGAGGTGCGCGCGAAGTTCATGCTGAGTCAACTGTGAACCCAGTTGGCCAAGTTGGGACGCCTCGGAAGAGCAGCTTGAGGATTGGCTATGGGAGAACGACCCCATTGAGACCCTGGCCAACGCCGACCTACAACCGGGAGTTCCTGAAGAAGTTTCGCGAGAACTTCACCAATGTTTCGCCACTCACCGGGAGAACCGGCAGAAGTTGGCCAAGGCAGTCAAAGCCCGTGGCTTCTATGTGTCTGGTGGCAACGCCAGCAAGGGCAAGAAGGGTGGCAAAGGATCCAAGGGCGGCAAGTCCAAGTCCAAAGGATCCAAAGGCGGCAGCAAGGCTCGTGGCGTGTCCTTGCAAGAGCTCAAAGCCGTCGCCGCCTGTGGCGACTGTGAACAGATCGGCCACTGGAAGGGCGACCCTGAATGCCCCAGCGGAGCTCACGAGACCGCGACTCTCGCGATGGTGTTTGGGACACATGGGACTATGAGGAAGAAGGTGATGAGTTCCAGTGGGATGACACCTATACTGGGAGGAGCAGTATGACGGTCAGGCCAGGACTGCAAACATGGCCACCCGACCTGCACCTTCGTCCCAAGCTGCAGCCAGCCGCTCAGTTGCGGCCGCTTCGACTCTGGACAAATCTACTTCATACCGATCGCCTTCGGCCTCGCCCCTGGACGAGGGCCATGTGAGCAAGGTCGCCAGGAAAGTGGATGCCCTTCTCAAGAAGCTCAAGCCGACAGCACCATCTGTGGATTTGCGAGCAGTCCGTACCGAGCTAGCCAAGGGCGCGCGGCAAGAACCTGATCAGTCCTGCCCCGAGTGCATCCGCAGTTGCTGAGGCCGCCCGTCACTATGAGTCCGACAAGTTCCAGGCGGTTGGATCTGCTTGGGCGCTGTTGGTCGACAAGGACAAGAAGGCGCCGGACCTTGACAACCTGAGGCAGCGCCGGACCTTCATGGCAAGGCGAGTGGATTGGGGTGGCATCATCGCCGTGCGCGACGACGATGAGGAGGAGCTCATTCCTGACCTTCCACTTGGCAGTCGACAGGTGGGATCGACCCGCCGAGCTCCGACATCGCAGCTACCTCACAATCGACGCGGCGTGCGATTCTCAGGTCCTGGAGGCCATCGCCCCGCGATTCCTGGACAAGTTCGAGATTGCCCCCCAAGATTGAGTCCGAGATGGAGCGCTATATACTGCCCCAGCCCCAACGAGCCAGTCATCTCTACGATGCGAGTCAGCCTGCCAATCGCCGTCCAGAACAAGGCGCTGGTCATCAACACTTCGACTTCGACCATCGACCAGGGACCTGGACAAGCTCCCGTCCCCGTCCTGGCTGGGCAGACTTGGCTCCTCTTTGTCAAGGCCATCATTGAATGGCCTTTCTGGCTGGATCCAAAGGAAGTCGCTATGAGGGCATCATTTTCGACCCTGTGCCTCCATGGGTGGACACGACACCCATCCAGATCGATGAATCTTGCATCGACTGGGGTCCGGAGCTCTCCGCCGACCGGGAAACCTACGCCCGTCCGTTTCGAGCCACGGCTATCGTCAGCAACCCGGCGGAAAGGCCACCAAGTTCGCGCTAAAGCCCAAGGAGGCAGCCCACAACTTGGAAGGGTGCTACTCGCAATCATCCTCGCAGGAGCTGGCGGTCTCCATCAACGAGGTGGTGCGCAAGAAGACCACTACGGCAGTGCAGAGCAAAGCCAAGCCTTCGCCTTCGAAGCGCTCACCGGTCAAGGACGAGCAGGACTCCTCAGCCGAGTGGAGCCAGGTGATGGATGTGGACGCGGATCCATCATCACCTCAATGGCATCACCCCCTCCGCCAGCGCCAGGCGAATGGCAACCTTTGAAGTCTGGTGTACGCCGCAAGCTGAGGCGCAATGCCCGCAAAGCTTTGGCCCTGAGCAGAGCTTCCCGAGGAGTGGTTCAAACCAAGATGACCCCTTCTTCCTGGCCCCGCAGGACCTGTGGCTATGACCTCATCGAGATCTTCGGTGGAACTTCGATTCGTCAACTTGGTCTTGGTGCTCTATGCTGGAACTGGTGCGTTTGCGGGCGCCCTCCCTCTCAGCGACAATGCACATGGTCGGACTTCTTGCTCGAGCGCTGGCTGGCTGTGGCTTTTGTAAAAGCTGGGTTGCTTTCTCCGGCTGTTTCTTCGCCTGTTGGTGCCTTGGTTCCCCGGGACGAGGCTGGTGAAGATTTGGCCTGGATGGAGGCGGTAAAACCTGAGTTAGTGGCGCATAGTGATTGGGCACAGGAGTCCTCTCCGTTTGGTTCACTTGGCTGGAGATTGGTTCCATTCATGTGGACTTGGATGACGATGCTTGCGTATTTTGTTGACCGCAGCTCCATTAGCGCGAAGTTTTGGCTTCGTTGCTGTGAGTGGCTGTGGCCACGACGAGCTGGACAGCAGTGTCGTTTTGTGTCCAGGGTTCGAGCTGCTCGGGCCAATTGGAAACATCGTTTTCGCGCTGTTGAGCGGCTGCGGCGTCGTCCTTCGGTGTTAGCTTGGTCGGACTGGATTGGTGCGGTCGTTTCGTCGTGGGGTTCTCTTTCTTCATCTGGCCTTTTTGGTGGTCATCGCCAAGTTGGGTTGAATCATGCCTTTCGTGGTGGTGGCAAAAAGGGCCAGGGCAGTCAAAAGGAAGAAGTTGCTTTGCTGGCGGCTTTGGGGCAACTCTTGGATCAGTTTAAGTCTAAGCGTTCTGGGGGTAGTTCTGATTCTGTGTTGCTTGGGGCTTTGGATAGACTTGTTCAACGTGCCAAGCAGAATCCGGTTGGCTTGTTGGAACGGTTGGAAAACATAGTTCAACTTGCTCGAAAGGGCTCTTTGAAAGACCCGGGTCCTAAAGAGGTTGAGGGCAAAGCAAAAGCTCCAGCTCCTCCTTTGCATTCTACGGAAAAGAAAAATGAAGTGGGAGGCGGTAAGGCGCCTGCAGGTGCTCCGAAGAATCCTGCTCATAAAGCAGTCCCTGTGCGGTTGGAACCTTCTTGCTGGCAAGGCCGCTTGGTAATGTGGCGTTCTGTCACTGATGCGATTGAAAAAAGGGGTTGCTCCTTCTGGTCAGGTTTGTTTGGCTCCTTCGTGTGCTAAAGTTGAAGAACTTGTTCAGTTGGCCAAAGCTCCCAAATGTCTGTCCAGTTTGCTTGTTGTTTCTTGCTGAAACCTACTGAGGATGTGCCGGATGGTGGACGCAGTGCGTTGCTTCCTTGTCTTGTTGGGACTAAGGAGTTTCGGAAAGTTGCCATGGTTCATGTGGGTTCCATCCCGCCTCTTCCTGTTGGTCTTGTTCATGAGGTTACCAATGTTCCTGTGCAGAAGGAGTTGGCGACCTTGCGGGTGTCTGTGCCTCGGGCCTTGGTTTCTGAAGAACGTTGGAAAGTTATGAAATCTAGACCTGTTGGCTTGGTTGATGCTTGGAAAGGTTCGCTTGAGATCCATAGTTCCTATGGATGGTCTGAAAATAAGTTAAGAATTGGAAATCCGAGGATGAGACTTTCCTTGCGGGTTACATCAAAGTTGTGGCCTCTGAGGTTGACCAATTCTTGATGTTGTCCGGTCGCAATGCGGTTTTCGTTGATCGATTGGAAAAGGATCAAACTGTTCGTCCAATGTTGATTGGAAGGTCCGGGGGGGATTTGTCACCTCTTGACTATGACAGTCAAGTTATGGCGGACGCTAGGCGATCCGGTCTTTCTCTTGCGTTTCGGGTTGGTGGCGGCAACTTCCTTGGTGTTCGCCTGCAGATTGGTGCTACTATCAAGGTTCGTGGCGTATGGAGGGTTACGAGCGTCCCGTTGAGTTGGTCGTCCCCTGATGCGCAGTGGACTGAGATTGAAGTGCTTAGTCCCCCCTCAATCCCGTAAGCAACCTTGGCTTGTGCGTGGTACGCCTCCGGCCAGCGTGTCTGGGGCATTTGGTGCGGCGCAAGTCGGTAGTGATGTGATCATGCTTCAAAGAGCTACTCAACGGAAGCCTAAGGAGGCTTCCGTGAATCGTCTTTCTGCTGCTCCTGCCCGGCCTTCCGCACAGCATTGACCACTCGCAAGGAGCTCAAGCAGCTCGAGAAGGATCGAGATTCCCTTCCACCTCACCCCCGACGAGTGGCGTGAGGGCTACCGCGAGGCGCTGATAAAGGAATCATCCACATGGATCCGCTACGGCGCCGTGGTCTTGCTTGACATCGAGGCTTCGAGAGCAGTTGAAGCCCTGGTGAGTCCATCAAATCAAGGATCCTCCAAACCAGAGTCTGCTACCGCAACAAGAATGCAGCATACCCATGGATGCCTGTCAAGCGCAAGGCGCGACTGGTTTGCCGAGGAGACCAAGACCCAGACCTGACGACGTGATGCGCCCACTATGAGTCGAGCAGGGATGTTCTGCCTGCTGCAAATCGCAGCCTCTTCACCAGGCTGGTTCCTCTTCAACAGCGACATCACCGGAGCCTTTCTCCAAGGGGATCAGAGCATGGCGGCCCGGAAAGAAGCACTATATCTTCGACCCCCTCGCGAAGGCCTTCCTGGTGTACACCCCAAGCAGTTGACGCTGGTGGTACGTGGCATTTTTGGGTTGGCTAACTCACCACGTTTGTTTTGGAGGCACCTTCGTGACTCCCTCCTCAAGATGGGCTTCCGCCAGAGCACCTTGGACAGGGCCATGTTTTTCTACTACAAGGACGAGCGCTTGATCCTGGCCCTGGGAGCTCACGCGGATGATTTGCTTGGCGCTGGAGAGCCAGGCGCTGATGAGAGTCTGGACCAGATCCGGAACACCTTCGACTTCGGCGCATGGGCTCACAGCAGGACAGATGAGGTGTTGGAAAATGGTGGCAAGCAGATCCGCCAGAAGCCCGACGGCTCCATTTGGCTGTCAGAAGTTGATCAAGGCCACCAATGTCACACCTATCCCCAAGTGGAGGTCTTCAACGCCCAATGCACCGCTCTTGGCTTCAGAGCTGGCGGAACTATACGATCCGTCGGAGGATGCCTACATTGGGTTGTTGGCCAGACACGGCCAAACTTGGCTGCTGGCACCTCGTTGCACATGTCAGGACAGCCGACTGTGGACAGCCTGATGCAGCTGAACTAGCTCCTCAAGGAAGCAAAAGCTTCAGAAGACTGGGCACTCCAGTTTAGGCCCATATAGACCTGGAGCGAGCTCGCATCATCGTCTACTCCGATGCCAGCTTCGCCAACGGCGAAGGCCTCCCCTCTCAGCCCGGCTATACCTGGTCTTCGTGGCCGAGGATGCCGCTTTAGAAGCTGCTGGTGGCTTGGCAAGCCTGATGGATTGGAGAAGCCACAAGATAAAGAGACAGTGCAGGTCGACGCTGGCCGCCGAGAGGATGGGTCTCGATGCTGCAGTGGATGCTGGACTCTATGTCCGGGAGATCTTCGCGGAGGCCTTGGTCTTCGGCTACGTCCCCTCTCAGTCCGGACGGCTTCCGTCTGCCGATGGCTGCAGCTGCAGGAGCCTCTGTACGACCTGCTCACCAAGGATGATGGTTCGCTCTCCACGACTCAGGAGAAGCGCTTGGCGATAGACCTTGGAGGTCTCAAAGAGACGGCTGCCGAATTTGACGAACAGATGGAGCGGCTTGCTGAAGTGTACAAGTGGGTTGACACCCACCACCAGCTAGCAGACCATCTGACGAAGCAGAAGCCGACGCATTTGCTTCGTGGAATTTTGGGCCATGGCAGGATTGCACTTAAGTTGATCGATCCCCAGGACACCCCGGAATCTCACGAATTTAAAGATAGTTGGGCGTGCAATCTCGGCATGCGTTCATGACCACTGACCCTATGTTTCCCGACGCCATAGGGCCCTTGAGCTGTGGTCACGCATCCCCTTTGATCCCGTGGTGTGTGCATCCACCTCTTTTACCCTTTAGGGCCTTGGGAACCAGGCTCCACGTATCCCGCAACTGAAGGGATTCATTTGCAGTAGCGACTGAAGCGGCGCCTGCCATCAGATCAACATCCATTTGGAACTGCCCTGTCCAACAAGAGTATCCTCAGGATGCCCTCAGCCCAAAGCTGATGCCGCTACCAGAGGGAGCATTTTCTGGTTTCTTTGGAAGTGCCCTGATGCCTCCCAACGAGGAAACTGCAGGCAAGTCCAGAGCTTGGTGGTGAGAGGATTTGATGCTTGGTCTGGGTGTTTGGGTGTTTTGTTTCAATGGCAGGTCGGTTTTGCACAGAGGGCCCGAAGCTGGAGTTTGGTGGGCCCATATCGCAAGCAGATGCAGGCTGAATGCAAAGTTGTCAGCACTTTCCGAGCAAGAAAACAAAGCCAGACCAGGATCGAAGCAATGAAGAGCGTCAACGACGCACAATTGAGCTGTACTAGTACCAGATAGTTTGATTCTGGTACGCTGTTTGGGAAGGAAATATGCCTTACTGAGCGCACGGGGAAGTATTCACCTGATCACGTTGCCAGGTGCTGCAACCCGAGTGCCACTTCGCCAGTTCGCTCAGCGCTTGCAGAGTGCCATTGCGCAAGCAGCAACCCTTCTGGTGGACAGGCCATGAGTTTGTATTCCCTCATGTTTGATCATTTTTGACAATGTATATATATATATTTGTTGTTGTTGTCGTCGCTTTTCTTGTGTTTTGAATATGAGGACTTCCGGACATCGGACGTGTTTCCCTTTTTTGACTTTCCTGCTGGGAAACTTGGGCGTAGTGCCCCCTGTGTACAATTCACACACTTGACCCGAGATCGTAGAGACACCATCCAAGTTAAGTTTCCTCTAACATCTAGGAACCAAATCATTGAGCCCGAGCCCTCCTGCGTCCCAGCTACTAGTAACTAGTAGCGACTCCCTCCATACTTACCTCACGGCCTGGCGTAAGCCCCCACCCCAGGATACGAAAAAGAAAGCACATGCGTGCTACTAGTAGCGATGCTCTTGCTACTAGTAGCGATGCCCTTGCTACTAGTAGCGATGCCCTTGTTACTAGTGGGGCATGCTGCCCGTGAGGCATCAATCGCTCACTCGCCAGAGCTCAGACTTCACACCAACACAAGACGAGGAGATGATCAAGCTGTCCTATGGAGTCCAGGCAGATTTAAATTGCCCTTTGCCCCTGCTGTCTTTGCCCTTTGAATTGTGAGACATGGATGCAGGCTGCGAGCTACAATGCACCTTGGCTTTCATAGAATTCGACATTTTTGCGCATTTATTCTTTAAACAATTGCCATTGCAAGGTGCAAAAGTGGGCCTTTGCCTTGGGGCATGGCGATGGGCCCCCATTCCGACCACCTCCGCCACAGACTGTTGAGGAGGCAAGACCCTGGGCAGATGAAGGCTTTCGTGTGTTTCTGACTGCTGATAAACATGGAACAATCGGTGTGCGGGTTTGTTTTCAGGGTATACATGTTGAGGCACTGGCTATGATGAATATGTCACTTCCTCGGCTAGTGGTTGGGGCGTCAAACCTGCAAGCGGGCTTGCGAGATCTCGTGCCACCTTCTGCTGCGGTCTGTGCAGAGCATTTGAGTGAAGAGGAGCTGCAGGAAGCGGAGAAAGCAGAGAAGCAAGAAGCAGAGCTGAGAGCAGAAGCAGAACTGAACCTGCGGAACATTACCATCGATGAGCTTTACAGCGTTGTGCCACACGTGGAGCACCTCATTTACCAAGCCAGTTGCCTCTTGAATTCCATCCGGAGCAGCGTGGTTGGCATGGTCCCTGGTCCTGTGGTCAAACCTGAGCCTCCCTTTGAAGCGAGCGAGCCCGTTCCAGCAATGTGAGGTTTGATCGTTTGGGTAACATGGAATTGGTCACTGCAAGAGTCACGCAAATCCAATTTGCGGTGTACAGAAGAGCAGCAGTCTCTATGATTCTGTGACCTACAATGTGTCTCAATGTACTCAATACGAGTTAAAGGTTCAGACTTGTCAATCGAATTTGTCGTCTCACTGCTGACAAAGATGCTCCTGCAGATTCTTGCAGCGATCTTGTATTCAGTTCTTTGTTTGGGTTCGTTTGCCGTGTGCAGCCACCTTTGCATCATCCTCACTCTCTTCTTTGTACCTCGTTTCTTTCATTTTCACAAGGACTCAAAGCCTAGCCAAAGCTTTACTATATCGCCGGAGATGACACTGACAAGGCCAGCACCTGTCAGCCTGCGAGCATACAAGCTAGCCTCAGCCACACCCTTTTGCATAAGGCAAGAAGAAGAGGACTCGTTGAGCAGTCTGTCAAGATATGTCAAACATGAGACTTGTTGTGACCAGCATTGTGGGGATTGCAGGATGAAGGACTCGCAGTGTCCTACATCTTGAAGGGTCCTTCCATGAAAGCTGTGGCTTGGCACTTTTTGCAACTTTATGAGATGCAATGAGCTGTCGATCGGTTGCGTGATGGCTGTACTGCAGCCAGGCATATTCTTTGTGCTTCGAGGCAAGAGCCTGGGTAACACACAAACTAGCACTGGACACTGAAAATTTGGACAATTATCACGTCCCAGGAGTTTTTTTTTTTTTAGTTTTTTAGGTCTTGAGATGAGGTATTTTGGTCAATTGTTTGGGGTTGGCAAGCTTGAAAGCTCTCATCACCACAGTCAGGACAAGTCAACAGCAGGAAACTTTGTGCGAGATTTCAGAGTTCGCAGCACCCTAAGCTGGAATTGAATGCTGATTGGAAAACGTTGGCGACGCAACTTGAAAGTTTCTCGGCCTTCTCGAGGATCCAGACTCATGGACATGTCACTGAAAACAGTTCGAGGTGGGCTCACGCAGTTCAAATTTGCCTTTCCTTGTCTGAGTAGAGTTAGAGATGATTGATAACTTTTAGCTTCAATAGGTCGAGCAGCAGCTCAAGACCTTCGAAAAGATCTAGAGAGCAACTCGCCTGGACGAACGTAGCAGAGCAACTGACCAACCAAAGTATTTTCCACAGCACCCATGCTACAGAGTGTCGCTTATGAGCAGTTCAAGCAAAGGATGAAGTGTGCGCAGTACCAATCGTGTAAGTGTATTTGAGTTGTATTCCATAGCATGTTTTTTTGTTTCTTAGCACCAAGGCATGAAGCAAAGAAGTCTAGCTGCACGAGCATGCAGGGCGCTTCGTTCGTCCCCCAGCATGCAGTCGCTTCTGGAATCCACAAAGCTTTGCTAAAAATCATGCTGCTCCGCTGCGCTGTATGATGACCTGATTTGGTCTGCCTCATCCAAGGGCTGCTTTTCCTCGTTGTTTGACGCCCAGTATTCAATATTCAAGGTAGATCGTTCCCATTTGAGTGCAGTCAAACATTAAGAACTCACAGAGTTGCTGAAGAAACGCTTCAATGGCCTAGCGATGGCCTCCAACCTAATGGCGATGACCTCCAGCGGTGTATTTTCAGATTAGTCGGAAACAGAAGTCTTCAAGCAGATATGAGAGTTTGCAGAGGGTGTTGATCGAGGCGACACTGCTCCTAGCAGCAAGAGCTGCTCATTTGTTTTCGTGGACCTGGCTTCACATTTTTTGTGTGCAGGGAGTGGTTCAAAATTAAGCATGTAACAAGTGTGCCAGGCAAAACAGTGAGCGACAGCCCATGGAGTGCTCAGCTGAAAACACATTGTTTATCATTCTTTCAGAACATCACCGTTACCTTCAACGATTCACAAACAAGCCTGGCGATTCGACTTATGATGTGACTAGGTACTTGTCTACAATTGGTGAAGACATTAGCGGCACTCTCCACTTGCCTGGGGCTTGGGCGGAGCTAGCATCGACCTGCCCCCCAGGACCTGCTTATTGTTGCATGGGTTCCTTATCATTTGCTGAGTGAGCATATGTCCCGAGGTCGGCATCTGCAACATCTACTGCTGGCACAAAGGCATGTGATCAATGTGCTGCACAGTTGGATGATCCAATCTTCAGAACAGAAGAACAACTGACAGGTGTGCGAAGTTGCATTCGGCACAGTGGATCGGGCTGGGTTGCGACAGTGCAGCAAAGAGACATCAGCCACGTCCTTTGAAGCAAGCGACGCTTGTGTTTGGGGCAATGTCAGGGTTCAGCTTCAGAGTGTCTTCTTCAGGCTTCGAGCATGCGGCAATGCATCGACTCACTGGTGGGTCGAGGGCACAGATGGCATAGGCGATTCCAAGTTTTAGATTCTTAGGAGATCTTGGGAGATGTTTATGAGGCTATGCACCAGTGATGGGCTGGTGATGGAGGCACTTCATGGCTTGTTTCTCACCGCAAAGTAGATGACTTGCAGTTTGCGGGGTGTTCGCGGGCACAGGCGAACCGCTTCGTGTTGAAAAGGTGGCATTCCCATTCACTTCATTCTGTTGTGGCAATTTCTGCATGGGCCCTGCGTCAGATGAATTGCTGTGATCGATCCCTTTGGCTCACAGGTTTTAAGTGCTGCATGCCTCGATGCATTCTCTCATTCGCATCTCTGCAAGACCAACTTCAGTTTGATCCTACTTGTGACAAGAGAGTCTTTGCGCGATTCCAACAGTTCCCAACAGCATGGCAGAGGTGTCAGCCTAAGCTGCCATCTGGTGAGAGACGATCTGAATTCGAGAATTCGGAACGGTCAGGCAACTGGCTATGCTTGCTGCTGAGTCTTTGCTGGCACATTCTTGCTTTTCCTACCCTCGTGGAGGGCAGCCTGAAGGTTTTGATACAGTGTTCGCATGTCTTGGTGAATCTTTCTCACCAGGTTGACTCTAGTTGAATTTTTGTGAGTTCCTTCAAGTATAATGTGCTGCTGAGGCAAAGGATTCATGCGGAAATTGCGGATGCGACAAGGGTGGCAAGGAGGCTTGCGAACAAGATGCCCATCAATGAAATCACAGTAAGAAGCGGCTGCAATCACAGAAGCGGAAGCGGTTCCAGTTAAGGGAAGAATTCCTTCAGGTTGAGGATCTTGTCCCGGATGTGAAGTTTGAGTGCCCCGACCTTCTCACCACGTTGACTGGCTTTATGCTGGCTTCGTTATTAGTTATATATAATGTTATATCTACAATTATATATATATTACAAAAAAGTATATATATATATATTTAATATGAAGTGCCTTCAAGCATTGCAATGATTACGATTGCACAAGAGCGTCGCATTCATATGCGGGCACGCTACAAACCCTGGGAAACGATTGGGGGCTCAAACAAAAAAAATTATCCCGGCAAGAGACCCCAAACAGTGTGTGTGAGGTCTATAATCAGAAAGTCTAGAGATCTAGACGCATTGGGGGGTGATGAAGGTGGGGATCGTGGTGACGGTGAGAGTGAGTGTGAGTGAGAGTGAGTGTGAGTGAGAGTGAGTGAGAGTGAAGGTGGGTGTGAGTGAGTGTGGGTGAGAGTGAGAGTGGGTGTGAGTGAGAGTGGGAGAGTGGGAGAGTGAGAGTGAGAGTGAGAGTGAGAGTGGGTGAGTGAGAGTGGGTGAGTGAGAGTGAGAGTGAGTGTGAGTGCGAGTGTGAGTGAGAGTGAGTGCAAGTGTGAGTGTGAATGTGAATGTGAATGTGAGTGTGAGTGAAGAGTGCGTGTGAGTGTGAGCGTGTGAGTGAGAGTGAGAGAGTGAGAGAGTGAGCGTCACAAAGTGTTGCGCCTGCGCCGAAATCTGCACTTCGAGGTACTGCGCCTGCCACGAAATCTGCACTTTGAGGTTCACCAAGTGCTGTGCCTGTCACGAAATCTACACTTTGAGGTTCACAAAGTGCTTTGCCTGCCACGAAATCTGCACTTCGAGGTTTACAAACTGCTTTGCCTGCCACGAAATCTGCGCTTCGAGGTTCACCAAGTGCTGTGCCTGCCACGAAATCTAGACTTCGAGGTTAACCAAGTGCTTGGCCTGCCACGAAATCTGCACTTTGAGGTTCACAAAGCGCTGTACCTGCCACGAAATCTGCACTTCGAGGTTCGCAAAAGTGCTGCGCCTGCCACGAAATCTGCACATTGAGGGTCACAGAGTGCTGTGCCTGCCACGAAATCTGCAAACGAGCCACATGTCCAAAAGTCACGATTCACTGCACCTGTCACTAAATCTGAGTCCCTCGACGATCACCACCATGTCCAAAGGGCTGCGCCTGCCACGAAAACTGCATTTCGAAGCAAAACAGCTCCGATCCCTTGCGCCTGTCACGAAAAGTCGGCTTTGGAGCACCAAAGCACGAGGTGCCTGCCTCGAAAAGTCACCACCATGTGCGAAAATGCACATGGCACCACAACGAGAGCGCAGTCGCTAGAAGCACCCGCCGCCGGCAGGCAGATTTTGTGAGCCTGCGCAGTTGAAATGGACCTCGAGGATTTTGAGAGGCATGAATGTATTGTAAATAGCAGCGAATTAGCCGGTCACGCCAGCGCGCTTCAGCGATCTAAGCATCAGCTGCTTTTCTACTACCGTAAGAACCCCCAGTGTGTCCACACTGCTTGGGGAGTGGTACCCTCAACAAGGTTCCGAAACATGGAAAGCGATAGGGGACTCACAATCTCAGGATGCAACAGCCACACATGATATACTATATAAGCAACATGCAGGTACAAACCCATGTTCCAGCACGCCAACCCTGTCGATGTTCCCTACAAGGCAGAGTCGAGGATGTTGGGTGTAGATGTTTCTGTTCTACGGAGTTTAGGAACAAAAGGTGAAATTGCAAGCAGAGAAACAACTTTCAATTCTAAGCCCTTAGCTGCAGCCTCCCAATGAATCATTTCAGTGACAACATAGCATTCTTGCAGAAAGTGGAGTCCTTGAGCGCTGGAATCGCTACCGAAGAGGTCAAGGCACACGATCCTGATAGTCCGATAGTCCTGTTTCAACTGTGCGGACAACTAGGACTCAAGCAGAATGCATTCTGGTGTGTGTTGTGACATTGTGTCCTTTGCCCGTTTTTGTTTTTGTTGGCATGCAGTATTGTGACTCTTCAGGTGGGTGGAGCTGCCAAGAAGATCATCACAGTGGAGCCACTGCCCCAAATCTTGCAGCAACACGTCAATGAATTGGGCGATGTTGACGAACAAAATCATGGATTGTCACTCTTGAGGCCCTGGGTCTTGCGTCAGCTGGCCGAACATTGCATCACCGAGATCAGTCCTGGCCTTCAAGCCTAAGCTGCTGCTTAATTAGGGTCCATAGGGCTATTCTCAACTTTGGCAGTTTTGTGTCTTTTTCCTTCGTGAGCTTTGTAAGCAGGTGAAACCATGAACACATTCATTTTGGTTGAGGTCACTTTCTTCGGCCGGGTCACCTTGCACAGCTTGGAAAGATTCTCACAGATCCTGAGGCTGTGGAGACATGGACTGACATAGACACGTTTTTGGTGAGATCAAATCCCTTCCCCTGGATGTCATCCTTTTTGTCAGGCTTCAGCAAATGATCGCTTCACAGCGCACAATCTCCTACAGTATCGGCTTCAGCCATTGCTTGTTTTACATGGTTTTCCTATACAAAGGGAAACTCCTTTTTGACTTGTTTGACGCAAACGGAGGGTTCGTTTTGGGTCCATCTGAGCTGTGAGGAATGCTGTGAAAGCTAGCGGAGGGCAGCTTCCCGGATGCCAGGCATGGACAAGACAATTGAGAAGAAGCGTACTTGCCAAAATGGGTTTTGCCAAAATGCTTGCCAAAAGAAGTTTGAGTTGATAAGAATCCATTCTCGCCTCCTTTGATGCTCACCCAAGATCCTCCTGCACTCACTGAAGATACAAAGCCGCTGCATAAACTGTCCGTTTCCAACTTTCCTTGGAAAGGACACGGGCACTGCCATTGTAATGGGGAAGCTGGCATCTTATTTGGAGCTCCATGATTGCAATGTGTAGGCGGCAAAAACTTTGGCTGAGGCGTGGAATGAGTGTATTCACTGCTGGCGACGATGAAGAGCAGCTATCTGGGGGCGTCTACGATGCTTACACAAAGAGGCTACTGCGTTCCTGGTACTTGTTCAGAACAAGCAAAGCACTGCTGATTAATCTGGCTGATTATATAGATGATTTGAGCTGACCTGAAGGAATCTGCGATACTCGCAAATGGCTCCTGTCACAATGTTTGCAGAGAAGAACACAAAGCTCTTGCCTGAGCTATGGCTGTCTTGTTTGAGAAGAGAACATCGATTATATGAAAAGTCAGCAGAGTGGTCATGCCAAGGAGACAAGTTGACTCCTTGTTTTGTGTTTTCGATTTCGCAGGTGCAATCTGCCAGCGCAGATTGACCTTTTGGCGACCTCTGAAGCCAAATATGAGCTTGAGGCTTAGAGCCCCTTCTGTCTAGCTTTGCGACGCATAGTTTTCTTTCGATCCCAACAGTACTACAGTGATCGGGTCTTGAATGAGGTTCCTTTTTATGGCAAAAGGCGGCGGATCTGCGAACAAGACCTACTTGTACCAGCAAACCAAGGCACGAAATGGTAGCAAACGCTACCAAGAAAGGAAGAATTAATGAGAGAAGACTGGGCTGCTGATTTCACTCCTTTTAAACCAGTGTTCGAGAGAAAAGGGATTTGATAATCTGCAGCCGGAGGCCTTGCTGAATCCAAAGAAGCTGGAAGCGTTCATCAAAGAAAAACTGCTTGGGCTTCGGCACAGCTATTCAAGTCGAACCACTTGCTTTGACTTGAGCCGGAGAAGCTTGAGACGAGCATTTCAATTCCAAGGCAGACTCTGGGCACAAGTGCTTGCCCACCTTACCATGTTGCCTTGGTAATTGGAGGGACCTCAGCAGGGTGCTGAGATGTGGAATTGAATGTGAGAAAACCCAGTGACGAGGACACACAAAAAGCAGCTCCAATGCTTCTGGTTCAGTGACTTTGCACTCTTTTCATGCCAAGGCTGAAACTTGCTTGAAGACCGTTAAGCTTGCAAGTGCCAGGTGCTGCAGGATTTTTGATTTTGTGCTAAGCTGTTATTTGCCCTCAAGGACAGTTTTCTTGCTTGTTTTTGTTGAGTTGTGGTCGCAGTCTACTTCGTTTGGGACAGGTGCAAACGGTTGTCTATTTTTCCATTTGGAACATCAAATAAATCAACTTAAAAGCTGCTTAGCTGTTGCAGCTCGCGTTGCAGCTTTTTGATCCGCCTCTCAGCTGTTCAGCATACGCTTGGGCTGACGCGACAGACGCTTTGACTCTTTGGGAGGTACTACGATGACCTCCCGACCTCGGGCAGCGACAGTGGCCGAGCTTTCCGTGACCTGGAATGGGAGGTGCCATGGAAGGTTGAAAGAGGTTGAGAGGAACAGTGGCATTGCTTTGAGGAAGATATAAACGGTTCATGGATGTATGAGATTACATGGAATTTAGAAGTGGCATACTATTATGTGATTATGTTATATATTATACTATATAAATAATAGATACATGGCATTGAAAAGGGCTTGTCAAACACAACAGGAACATGAAGACCATTCCCTGTCAATTATGTTCTTGACCGTCAGGAAAAAGTGCTGAAGATTTGTCAAGATTTGGGGGTGGGAGCCCAGTTTGGTGGGAAGTACTTCGCTCATGATGCTGGGGTCCAAGAGAGTGTGGGTCACAGAACCACGACGCAAAGCCCTCATACATATGATGTTTGGGTGTTCTTCTTAGGCACGGGTTATGAGACTCCCACGGTCCAGGGCTCAGTGTGATCAGCTGTGAGCATCTAGTAGCGTCCTTGCTCCTAGTAGTACGGCCAGGAGCCCCTAGTAGCTTCTTGCTCCTAGTAGCGATGCCAGGAGCCCCTAGTAGCGTCCTTGCTCCTAGCAAACATCTAGAAACCAAATGAATAGTGCTAGTGCTAGTGCTTCTTCAAGGAAGCTCCCTTCCGCCGCCCTGGAGGAGCTTCCTTGAAGAAGGGTGAGCTATCCTGCGTCCAGTAGCTACTAGTGGCCAGCCCTTACTTAGGTGCGTGCAAAAACACATAATTATATAACAATAGCAAAAATACTCCTGGCAAGAGACCCCCAACAAGTGTTTTGAGGTCCAGAGGTCCAAGGTCTAGAGGTGTGGAAGCAGAAGGTCTAGAGATCCAGAGGTCTAGAGGACTTGAGGTTTTGAGATCTAGAGAGATCTAAAGGTCTAGAAAGATTTAACTGCCTACAAGATCGAGGGATTTGGAGATCTAGAGAGGTCTTGAGATTCAGATATGTCAAGAGACTAGAGGCCCTGGGATCCGTTTAGAGAGATCTAAAGGTCTAGAAAGGTCTCAAGGCCTAGAGATCTACTTCTCGAAGTTAGATGAGTGGTCTTGAGATCCGTCCAGAGCTCTAGAGTCTCTAGAGGTCCAAAGGTCTATAAAGATCTAAACGGCCGAGAGATCCACAAGTATTTGGCGGTCTAGAGGCCTGGAGATTTGGAGGTCTAAAGTTTTTAGTTCCAGAGATATCTAGAGTTCTGGAGGTCTTGAGATTGAGAGAGATTTAGAGGTTTAAAGGCCTTTGCCATCCAGATGAATCTGCACGTGTGGAGATTGAGAGGCCTAGAGAGATCCAGAGAGGTCTTGAGGTCCAGAGATCTACAATATAGACAAGAAGCTACTAGGAACAAGTGCATCGCTAGTAGTAACAGGTGCCTTACTAGTAGTAGCAAGAAGCTATTAAATTTACTTAATTGTTAATTCTAATAGCTTTTTTGTTACTACTAGTAAGGCACTTGTTACTACTAGCGTGGCACCTGTTACTACAAGAATTCTAAAGGTCTAGAGGTCTGGAGGTGTAGCAGTCTCAGACTGAGAGACCAGGAGATCTGCAAGTGTGGAGGCGTAGAACTGTTGAGATCCGGAGAGGTTTTTGAGAGGCAGACGTAGGTCTGGAGGTGTTGAGGCCCAAAGTTATCAAGAGTTCGAGGTCTAATGGCCTAGAGGCCTGCCATGAAATCTGCACTTCGAGGTTCACAAAGCGCTGCGCCTGCCACGAAATCTGCGCATCAATACTTACATAGCGCAGCCTTGCCAAAGCGTTAACGACAATATCAAAATTCCAAAACGCAGCTTTCGCTCGAGGCTTCGCCCGATTTTTTGAAAATGAACCACATGTCCAAGGGTCATGTTTCAGTGCACCTGCTACGAAATCAGAGCACACCGAAGAGCACCACCATGTCCAAATTGCTGCGCCTGCCACGAATAAATCCACACACCGACCGTAAATAGCAGCGAACACCCGGCCTTAACCACTACTGTACCGTAAGAACCATTAGATTGACCACACAGTTTGGGGAAAAATCGATGCAGAAGTGTTTGCTCAGGCATGGTGCATCCTGCCCAGTTGGCCTTGGCGTCTCTTGCAGTGCTGATCGACAGCTGACGACCCAGCGGCAATCTACCGAAACTCACAAATATTCGATGTTTATTTATTTTTATTGTTTTCAATTGTCATTCGATTTTCCTTCCTCGTTTGCGCAGTTGACACCAGGATCCTGGCCAAGATCACAGCGGAAGGCGTTTTCGTGGAGGAGTTGGAGCACAATCCTGCACCTTGGTATTTAGGTTCTATGATGTGCTTCTCCATCAAGAATCTCAAACTCAGTCACGGTGACAACACTGCCCAGGCAACACTTCTGTAATGTCACTAGGCAACTCACAGGAAGAAAGTAAACATACATAAGAATTGATATATATATAATACATAAAAAATAATAATATAATATATGTATAATAGTTCGCTGCAAGCAAAGAGAAAGGGTTTGCTCATTTGCAAGTCCGTGGGTTTTCATGGCTTCCATACTCACACGGCAGTAAGATGACTGATCCTGCATGATCCTTCACGATCCTGCAGCAACAAATTCCCGACTTGATTGTGCAAGGCACAATATTTGCCATCTGGACCTGTGGAAGGCCTTTCTGAACAGGTTGGAACAGCTGCTTGATTTTCTGTGTCAAACATGTTATTTTGGAGTTGCCAAGTTTTTGGCTGCAAACTTGCTGTCAACGTTGCAGGTGGTTTCTATCAGCTTGCAGCAGCCCATGAAAGATATATTGGCAGTACTCACAAAGCCACATGCTCAGCCAACAAAAAACAACAGCCTGAAGAAACACAGAGACTTGATACTTGAAACCAGGTATCCCATCAAGACCCGAGTCTCCCTGACAGGTGTGCAAGACTCACGAATGTTTGGAATATGGCGACTCCCTTGTGGCTCTCATCCTTGCCCTGCTGGCAGGTCCCCTCATTGTTGCCAGAGATATTGCCCATGCGAAGATCAGTGAGCTCTTTGAACAGACAGGGAAGCTTCCACAGTACGTCAAGGCCCACAATCTACACTTTTGACATTGAGCACGCGTGAGTCAATCTACTGTTTTGGGCCAGGACCATCCAATCTACTACGCTGGGCCAGCCAAGCCTGCACCTGAGCGTGAAGATTGCTAACCGATGAGTTTGCAAAGCAGATGGTCCGTTAACTCATGTTTCTTGTGGCATCGTGTGGAACCAGGACACCGGCAGGATTTGCTTCTGGCTCATTTGGTCCTACAACTGCTGGCCGCATCTCTCTCTGGAAAACTTCAGACTGCAGCATGAAAGGGTTGGTCAAAATATATTTGCGGGCGATGTGAAAGTAGAGCTTCTACCAGCTCTGACCCTTGAAACCATGATTTTTATGAATCTTTAGATTTCCAAGGTAGAAGACTTCAATGTACCTGAATCCAACTGCCCAAGGAATGGACACCTACGTTCCAATGTGGCAGCCTCATGGAGCTTCTTTGGCCGGGAGCTGAGAAGCGCAGAGAGTTCTTTGGCATTAGCTTTTTGCTTCTAGTAGTAAGGCCAGGAGCCCCTAGTAGCGTCCTTGCTCCTAGTAGCGATGCCAGGAGCTCCTAGTAGCGTCCTTGCTCCTAGTAGTAAGGCCAGGAGCCCCTAGTAGCGTCCTTGTTCCTAGAAGCGATGTCAGGAGCCCCAAGTAGCGTCCTTGCTCCTAGAAGTAAGGTTAGGGGCCCCCCAGTAGCGTCCTTGCTCCTAGTAGCGATGCCAGCCCTTAGTGAGTCCTTGCTCCTAGTAGTAAGGCCAGGAGCCCTTGGTAGCGTCCTTGCTCCTAGTAGCGATGCCAGAAGCCCCTAGTAGGGTCCTTGCTCCTAGTAGTAAGGCCAGGAGCCCCTAGTAGCGTCCTTGCTTGTAGTAGTAAGGCCAGGAGCCCCTAGTAGCGTCCTTGCTTGTAAGAGCGATGCCAGGAGCCCCTAGTAGCGTTTTTGCTCCTAGTAGTAGCGATGTCAGGAGCCCCTAGTAGCGTCCTTGCTCCTATAGTAGCGATGCGAGGAGCCCCTAGTAGCGTCCTTGCTTCTAGTAGCCAGGAGACCCTAGTAGCGTCTTTGCTCCTAGTAGCGATGCCAGGAGCCCCTAGTAGCCCTTTTGCTCCTAGTAGGGATGCGAGGAGCCTCTAGTAGCGTCCTTCGTCCTAGTAGCGATGCCAGGAGCCCCTAGTAGCTTCTTGCTCCTAGTAGCAAGGCCAGGAGTCCCTGTGGCTTCTTGCTTCTAGTAGTAAGGTGCCTTGTTACTAGTAGCTTCATAAGCAGGGTTGCTCTCCGGAGGTGACTCTTGCCAAAGGCAATCGGTCCAAACAGGCTCTGGGAAATGCTTGAACTGTGCAACCGGTACAGTGTCGATACCCACGTGTTTACCAACTCTACTCGCAGGTCACTGATTCTTGCAAGCAGTATGGCGGCTTCTACCTTGGAAGCGTGGGTGGTGCTGCTGCAGTTCTAGCTGAAGATTGCATCAAGAAGGTGGAGGCAGCTTGAGTAGTCAGTCAATGCTGCAAGTTTGAGGCGAATCATTTGGACAGAAACGAGGTTCTCAGAGTGTCGAATCAATTTGATTGTAGCTCTACAGTTCCTTGAACCAGTTGTGTGTTTACTGATGTAGAGTCTCGTGGCCAAGTCTGTGTCGCATGAGGTGCTGGAATTTCCGGAGCTTGGTATGGAAGCAGTGTGGAAAATCGAGGTGCATGGAAGCACTGAAGAGCTCTTTCAAAGACTTTGACTTGATGCATCTTCATGCTAGGTGGAGAACTTCCCGGCTTTCATTCTGGTTGATGACAAAGGCGCTTTGCCAAAGAAGAATATGCAGATGACACAACATACTGGTAGTAACACAAGCAGGTTTGCGGCGCTTTATCATACTTTATCATCAAGACACCAACGCGTGGTTCAAGACCAATACTAAAAAACGAACCCTTTGTCAGTGTTTGGTGCGCTGGCTCAAGATGGTGATTTCTGGCTGAGGCAATGACTTCTTTGCAAATTGGAACATGTGAAGCAGTTGAGGCGCTTCCAATTGCAATAGCCATAGTGATGCTTTTTTGCATTTGCTGTGGCCAGTTATTGCAGCTGAAGCAACAGCTGCAGCTGCTGCTGCTGATGCCGCCGCCCTTTTCCTGCAACCTTGCTACCTTTCGTTCACTCCCTGCTACCTCAACTTGACAGCTGCAGCTTTTTTGTTGCATTGGGTGTGCTTCTTGGCAGGTGTTTTCCTGTGAGTCAGCGGTATTCTCCTACAATTTTCAAGGACGTGCGCACAAGCGCCCTTTGAAGACTTTCCCTGTAAGCCACGCTGTTGTCGATCTGTTTTCCAGACAGACTCCTCGCCTTACTAGTAGCAAGAAACTACTAGTAGCTATATTATAGTGTTCTTTGCTTTTGCATGGCTTGACAGCTGGGCGAGGGGCATCGATTACAGAACTTGTGCACTATTGTCATTGATTTCATCGATGTCACGAGGTCGCCCTTTCCTAATTGGTTCGTGGTGACCTGTTGACACAGTAGTGAGCACAGGCAAACCCACTTTAATCCCTATCGCCAGGTAAAAAGGTCTCAATCCGTTTGATCCCTTTTGCACACGTACATGGAGTCTCATATTTCAAGCAAACTGCGTGGAAGCTGTCATCACTGGATATTGATGTACACATGGTTGACATACAAGCAGTTTGTTTGCAAGAATCACACCGGGCTTGGCTTGGGCTTATAAGACACTGTGTAGATCGGACTGCATGTCCCCACCAGACCAGAGAACCAGGAGGGACCATGCTGTTGCATGATTTACATGTGGAACCACAGTTCAGTTTGAGTACCAGCTGCCACCCATTATCAGATACAAGCCATGACAGACAAACTTACATTTGTTTCAGCTCTTACTTCAACATGAATCCCCTTATCATCCCATCTCAAGGTTGTAACAAATTGGACATACTTTGAGAGATTTATCTTTTGCCGCCATGCCGCGTGCTTTGGTTTGCGCACAAGCGTTCCCGCCACTGCTGAAGCAGGTTAGCATGGTCAGATCGGAAGAAGCCAAAAGAACCTCTCGTGTCACGAACTGTCTTGTTCGCACAAGTTTCTTGTGACCTGCCATGTTTGCTGAGCAAGCCAAGAAATACAGTCCGGTGCAGGCCGGAGGGGTCGCCAAAGACTACTTGGCTCTTTGCCGGGCGCTGATAGATGGCCTTGGTTGGGAGGTGACCTTGCTGACACCTGTAAACATCCAAGAGTCTGGTGAAGACGATGTTGCGCAGCTCAGCTTCAGAGTCAACCTGAATACAGTAACTGTTGGGAGATGTCACCTCAGCAGACTTGTGACCATTTTCATTTGTTTCTGTTGACATGTCATACACTAGCGCTTCCTATTCACAGACGCCACCAGGGTATACGGGAGACACATATTTTTGAGTAATCAGCAATCACCTTCTGAGAACCTTACCTGGAGAGAATCTGCACTATGGCTTAATAGATTCGATGGCAACAAGTGCAGCCTTAAGCTTTGTCCACTTTGAAAGAATTGGGCACTGTCCATGTTCAAGGAGATGGTTACTGAATGGGCAGCTTGTCTATGCTCCTGTTGGAGCTGTTGAAGCATCCAGCAACATCGGGGTCGCTGCTTTCATGGACTTTTTTTCCATCACGAACACTGTGATCTTCTTGCGGCTCCTAGCGGGCAAGAGAGGCAGCGATGTGCTTTCGTTCTAAAAATCCATATCAGTAACTAGTGTCAACCACCTGCCATTTGCTGGTAGGTTCATCATGGTTCATCAATGCAGCAATGGTGTAGGCAAAGGCACGCATAGACTCACTCCCGGCGGTGCTTTGGTCAGGCCACGACGTCTGCTTCCTTGATGACAGTTGCTTGCGAATAGCTCCAATCATGCTCTTGCGAAGCTTTGGTATTCCAAGTATCGCCACAACCCACTCAGATGTACCATCGCATCCAATGTACCAGGAATCCATGTTGATGAAGATCCTTTGGTGGCTTCATTTGGCCTCGGCATTCTTTGCAACTGTTCATGCGACGGTGGCAAGCGTCTATGCCAAGTCGCTTTGGGAGCGATACGCAGTCCCAGTTCACTGCGTTTGGCCACCTGTTCTTTGGTCCGATGAGTTTCGTCGGCCCTTAGATGATTTGCTGGATGCTGCATCCCGCCAAAGGGCTTGTTGGATCGATAGGTTTGGGTTTTGCCCAAAAGCAATTTTCCTTTTTGCGGGAAGGTGGTCCGCAGAAAAGCGAATCCACTTGCTTGTTGATGCTATACCCGAAGACTGTGGCCTTGTCATTGTCGGTGACAGTGACGCAGACTACGCAGATGAAATCGAGGCTGGTTGAAGCTTCTTAAGTTTCTTGTGTTGACCATGCTATTTTAATTCATGTTAACTCCAGGAAGTCGAATTGTGGGCACTCCGTTCAGGCCAGTGTCAGGCGAAATGTGCTCCCACAAAGAGGCAGAGCAGGACGTAGTCAGTAGTTGCACGGCTTTGCACATGCATTTGCAAACTCTACTCTGTCATACGGATGGTTGGACAAACCCGGAAGGCATGCTTGGTGCTGAAGACCTTCGCATTGCCTATGCTGCAAGCGACTTGTACGTCTCTGCGAGCACCTGCGAGACGCTTGGGAACACTGTCGTTGAAGTGCAAGCCTGAGGATCCAAAGTTGTCGTCCCCAAATCAATCATGTGAAGGCTTAGGAGCAATGTTCGCTACTAGGGGCTCCTGGCCTCACTACTAGGAGCAAGGATGCTACTGCTAGGGGCTCCTGGCCTTGCTACTAGGAGCAAGGACGCTACTGGGGGGCCCCTAACCTTACTTCT